ATTATTTTTTTATTTATATTTATTTATTATTTTTTATTTATATTTATATATTATTTTTTATTTATATTTATTTATTATTTTTTATATATATTTATTTTTTATTTATATTTATTTATTATTTTTTTATATATATTCATATATTATTATATATACATATTTATTTATTAATATTTATTTATATTTATTTATTATTTTTTATTTATATTTATTTATTATTTTTTTATTATAATTTATTTATTATTTTTAATTTATATTTATTTATTATTTTGTATTTATATTTACTTATTATTTTTTATTAACATTTATTTATTATTTTTTAATTTGTATTTATTTCTTATTTTCTAATTTATATTCATTTATTATTTTATATACATATTTATTTCTTATTGTTTATTTATATTTATTTTTTATTTTGTATTTATATTTATTTGTTATTTTTTATTTATATTTATTTATTATTTTTTATTTGTATGTATTTATTATTTTTTATATATATTTATTTATTATTATTTTATTATTTTTTATTTATATTTTTTTATAATTTTTTATTTACATTTATTTATTATTTTCTATTTGTATTTATTTATTATTTATATTTATTTATTATTTATATTTATTTATTATTGTTTATTTATTATTGTTTATTTATTATTTGTATATAGTTTTTATTATACATATTTTTTTATTATACATTTTGTTTATTATAAATGTTTTATATTTATATTTATATTTATATTTATATTTATATTTATATTTTATTTATTTATAGATTTTATTATTTTTGTTTAGGGAGAGTTTCAATTTTTGTGTTTATTTTAGAAATATTTGGTGTAAGATCGTGTGTTAAAAAGTTAATTTGTTCTAAGACTGCATGTTTATGAATACCAATAGTTGAACGAGAGACCGGTTTTAAATTTTTCTTTTTCTTTATAATATTTTCTTTATTATTTATTATTTTTTTTGATTGCACATTTGAAGTTGATGCTTTCACTGGAGATCTTGTAGAGAGTGCTGCAGTAATTGCATTATTTGAAAGATTAGTAGGTTGCGGTGTCTTATGGATGCCAGATGAAACAACTGAAGAGAAACTGTTGCTGGAGATGTCGACGGAAGGTAGTGTTTTATATAGTTGTTTTGCTTCTCGCGTTGTACATTTATTTTTTGTTTTGATTTTTAATATCTCTTTTTGTTGATAAAATTTTGTGCATTCTTTAGAAGAAGCTGGGTGCTGTTCTGAACAATTAGTACAATAAGTACGGGAACAGTCAAACGGGGCGTGAGGAGGCTAACCGCAATTTATAGAAGCTGGAGCGTTTCGGCATATTTTGGCAGTATGACCAAGATCCTGGCACGATTTGCAACGCATTGGGTTTTGTACATGCTCACGCACATCAACGAAACGCCAAGAGATTTCAATTTTTTCGAGCTAATTAAATGTGTTAAAAGATAACAAAACCACTTCGCTGGCATGGAACTGGCCTTCGATAAATTTAGGGAACTTGTAGTATTCAACAACACCCTGCGAACTTATCAACTTGACTCTGGTCACACGACAATACTCTTAGGTTTCAGTTAAACTTTACGGAATAACTTAAATAGTTGATAACAACCTTAGACTGAGGTAATCCTTGCTTTGGAGATCTTTAGCTGATATACCATAAACTTTTGAGCAGTAGTCATGTCTTTGACTAGTAATACAGGTTACCATCTCTTTGTATGGCTGATCACTGATTTTGCATGTAATTATTTAGGTACAGATTTATCCCATTTATTTTTTTATCGATTATGTAGAACCAAATATTTTTGCTTTCTAAAAGTTTGAAAATTCTGTAAATGTAGTACAAAAATTTAATAAGATATTCACGGTATTTTATGTTGTCATATTTTCATATTGCGATCCATCTCATTGCAAATATAATAAACTGTATGTTTAGGCTAGGTGAATATCCTGAAATTTGGAAACAGGCCACAGTTACAGTCTTTCCTAAACCCGGCAAAGACCCGAAATTAGCGCCCGATTAGCTTACTGTCAGCTCTGGGTAAGTTAGCTGAAAGAGTGATCCTAGATAGACTTAAAACTTCGGTAAATTCGCTGAATATTCTCCCCGATGAGCAATTTGGTTTCAGAGAAGACCTCTCCACAGAATTACAACTAGTGCGAACAGCTCAGATGATACAGTCTGCCCTGAGCAGAAGGGAATCAACGGGTATGATTACTTTTGACATCGCCAAGGCATTTGACAAGGTATCCCAGTCGGGTTGATCAAAATCCTTGGCAGCTTCCTTTGCGAGAGAATGTTCCATGTAAGAATCAATAATATCACCTTATCAGTACCAAGAATAGAAGCGGGTGTTCCTCAAGGATCCCCGCTCTCCCCCTTGTTGTACAACATCTACACGTCTGACATCCCAATGCTAAGTCCTTCGGTATTATCATTATACGCAGATGACACATGCTTGTTATATTCTGATAAACATGCCAGAAATGTCGTCAACATGGTGCAGGAGCATATTAATCTCATCCTAGGGTTCTTCCATAAATGGGAAATAAAAATTAACAATGAGAAAACTAAAGCCCTGTTTATTACACGTAAACACAGGCAACATCCACCGAGAGTAAGAGTTGGTGACATTGTGATTAATTGGGTGGATAGCATTAAATATTTAGGTATCACGTTTGATAAGCGATTCACTTGGCATAAGCATATACAAGTCAAAAGAAGTAGTTGCGCTAAAACCCTGCAATGCTTACAACCATTTTTAAAACACAACAACCTTAACGTGAAGAACAGAAAACTGATCTATAGCCAGATAATTAGACCAGCATTACTTTATGGGTGTGTCGCGTATAGCAAAGCTGCCGACTCTACTATACAAAAGTTACAAGTTGCTCAAAGTCAGGCACTCCGAAGACTCTTCAAAGTGCAATGGTACATCCGCATGAATGACATGCTAAGAGACCTTAGAATAGACCCGGTCAAAAAATACATAAGGGACAGAGCCCTGAAGTTATATGCGAAAATTGACAGGCTATCCTACTTACCACTATCTAAACTTAGAGTAATCAGTCTCCGCACGGGGAGGTACGCAGATCTTAGATCAATCACTAAATAATTTTGAAGTTTATGAGAGATATACAATTTAGTCAATGAGATGGGTGGGACCCTGTAGTACCCCCAGCTATCAAAGAGTAAAAGTGTCCAGTTGCGCTGACTCGAAAAAAAGGATCAACATACATACATTTTCATATTTTTGTTATTCAAATTTTTTATGGCAATTTATTATTTCTGGATTTTCTAAACAGTTTATCATTTATAGAATAATATGGTTACCTTTGAAACCACTTAACATCGTGGATTGGTTTATTTTGGTTCGTTTCAACAATTAATTGTTGCTTTGCTCATATTGTATTCAAATGTATTTCAATTTAACAGTTTTAGTTTAAGCTTAAAAGAAAGAGCTATTTTATTTATGAAAGTATTATGAAATATTATTTTTTTTAAAGAATATGGAGAGACGTTCAGAAAGAAGCATAGTAGAACCGGATATATTCGAAGAAGAAGAAGAGTCTGATTCTGATGCTGATGATTTTATAGTTGATGATGAAGGACGTCCGATTGCTGAAAAGAAAAAGAAACGAAAACCTATATTTACCGATGCGTTAGTAAAATTTTAATTATATAATTATTATATTATAAATAAAATGTTCATTAAATCTTATTTGGTTTAGATCGCTGCAAGAAGGTCAAGATATTTTTGGTGTTGATTTTGACTATGACGACTTTTCGAAATATGAAGAAGATGAATATGAAGACGAATCCGATGGAGAAGATTTTGACGACGATATTGCAGATAATGATCGTGAAAAATTAAAAAAAAAATTGTTACGAAAAAAAGTTACAAAAAAAACTATTTTTGATATATATGAACCGAGTGAGCTTAAACGGGGACATTTTACGGATCTTGACAACGAAATAAGAAAAGCAGATTTGCCAGAACGTATGCAATTACGAAATGTACCAGTAACAAGTGTCCCAGAAGGTTCAACTGAACTTGATGATGAAGCAGAATGGATATATAAGCAAGCTTTCTGTAAGCCGACTGTGTCTCAACAGGATAAAAACCTGGATTCTCGTGATAGATATAAAAAACCATCAAGTGCAGTAGAGAAAATAAAACAAGCATTGGACTTTATAAGAAATCAACAATTAGAGGTACCGTTTATTACATTTTACAGAAAAGAGTATGTAAAGCCTGAGTTGTCATGTGAGGATTTGTGGAAAATATATTATTTTGACGAAAAATGGTGTCAATTACTTAATCGAAAAAATAAGCTGCGTTTATTATTGGAAAGTATGAAAAATTACCAATTAAATGCGCTAAAAAACATAAAGGATAGTCGATTGTCAGATGATATACGATTGATTAAAGACGAAGACTTCGAAAGATTAGCTGATGTCCAAACGGTAGAGGAATTAAAAGATGTTCATATGCATTTTCTTCTCTATTATTCCCATGACATACCAAGGATGCAAGAGGATCGAAAAAGAAGAGAAAAGGAACAAAAAAAGATTGCAAGAGAAGAAAAAAGACGTCAGTATTTAGAAAATGGTGAAGAAGTACAAGATTTATCAGCTAACGAAACCGACAGTGACGACAACGAAGATCAATTAAAGCATTCAAATGATTCTGGACCATATGCAATGTGTCGAAAAGCAGGACTCTGTGGATTTGCAAAAAAATTTGGTCTTTTACCTGAACAGTATGCAGAAAATCTTCGAGACAACTATCAACGTCATGAAATAAACCAAGAAGTTATCAGCCCATCCGAAATCGCTAAACAGTATTTATGTCCAAAATTTATGACAACAGAAGAGGTTCTACAAGCTACAAAATTCGTGGTGGCAAGGCAACTATCTAGAGAACCACTTTTACGCAAAAGCGTTCGTGAAGCCTTTTTTGAACGTGCTAAAATGACTGTGAAACCTACGAAAAAGGGTATGAAAGAAATTGACGAAAATCATCCATGTTACACTATAAAATATTTAGCAAACAAACCTGTTAGAGATCTTCTGTGCGAACAATTTTTAAAACTAGTAATGGCTGAAGAAGATAAATTACTTGAAATTTCAATATCTGAACAAATAGAAGGGAATATTTCTAATTCATATATAGACGAAGCTAAGCAACTTTATCAAAGGGATGAGTTTTCAAAATATGTGCAAGAGTGGAATATTTTACGATGTGAATGTGTTGAACTTGCTTTAAAAAAAATGGTTATACCTGATTTACGTAAAGAACTTAAGAATCTTCTATTAACTGAATCTAAACAATTCGTACTTAAAGCATGCTGTTTAAAATTATCAAATTGGTTAAAAGTTGCCCCTTTTAGACCAGAATTTTCTACGGAGAGTACTTATGATGATTGGAACCATACGAAAGGCATACGAGTGATGGGTCTCGCCTACACACCAGACTATTCTCAAGCCGCCTTTTGTTCTGTTATAACCGTTGAAGGTGATGTAAGCGATTATATTCGACTACCTAATATATTGAAACGTAAAAATGCATATCGTGCCGAAGAAAAAATTCAAAAGATGTCAGATTTAGCGAATTTGAAGGAATTTATTCGGAATAAAAAGCCTCATGTTTTAGCTATTGGAGGTGAATCAAGAGAAGCTCAAATGATACAGTCTGATATTCAGGAAATAATAAAAGAGCTTGTTGAAGAAGATCAATTTCCCCCCATTGCAGTTGAAATAATAGATAACGAGCTTGCAAAAATATATGCTAATTCAAAGAAGGGTGTAGCTGATTTTAAGGATTACCCGTTACTTTTGAAGCAAGCCATATCATTAGCGAGAAAAATGCAAGATCCTCTTGTTGAATTTTCACAGTTATGTTGCGCTGATGAAGAAATTTTGTGTCTACGTTATCATTCGCTACAGGAACAAATTTCTAAAGAAGAATTATTGGAACATCTATATATTGAGTTTATAAATAGAACAAATGAAGTTGGCTTGGATATTAATTTCGCTATTCAAAATTCTGAATCATTAAACCTTGTACAGTTTATTTGCGGTTTGGGACCAAGAAAAGGACAAGCATTAATAAAAATATTAAAACAAACAAATCAGCGACTTGAAAATAGAACGCAATTGGTGACATTGTGCCACCTAGGGCCAAAAGTTTTTATAAATTGCTCTGGTTTTATCAAAATTGATACCAGCTCACTTGGTGATAGTACTGAAGCATACGTTGAAGTATTAGATGGATCACGTATCCATCCCGAAACTTATGAATGGGCTAGAAAAATGGCTATAGACGCTATGGAATATGATGATGAAGAAACAAATCCAGCTGGCGCTCTTGAGGAAATATTGGAGTCTCCTGAACGATTAAAAGACTTAGATTTGGATGCATTTGCTGTCGAATTAGAACGACAAGGTTTTGGTAACAAAAGTATAACTCTTTATGATATTAGAACAGAATTACATTCTCTTTACAAAGATTTGAGAGTTGCTTACAGGTCACCTAATGCTGAGGAGTTGTTTGATATGCTTACAAAAGAAACTCCTGAAACATTTTATGTCGGAAAAATGATTTTAGGAACTGTTATTGGTATATCACACAGAAAGCCCCAAGGTGAACAATTGGACCAAGCAAATCCAGGTAGGAATGAAGAATCCGGTCATTGGTCTTGTCCTTTTTGTTTAAAGGATGATTTTCCTGAATTATCAGAAGTTTGGAATCACTTTGATGCTGGTGCATGTCCTGGACAAGCAACTGGTGTTAAAATTCGATTAGACAATGGTTTATCTGGATTTATTCACATTAAAAATCTGTCCGATAAACATGTTAAAAACCCTGAGGATCGTGTACAAAATGGTCAAGCAATACACGTCAGAATTATTAAAATAGATGTGGATAGGTTTTCAGTGGATTGTTCGTCTAAGAGTTCTGATCTTATGGATAAAAATCATGAATGGCGTCAACGTAGAGATCAATTTTATGATTATGAAGCCGAGGAAAAGGATAATCGCAAGGAAAATGAAAAAAATCACATAAAAACTAAACAACAATATGTCAAACGTATAATTATACATCCGTCTTTTCATAACAAATCTTATGCTGAAGTAGTTAAAATTATGGAAAATATGGACCAAGGTGAAGTTATTGTACGTCCTTCTAGTAAAGGTTCAGATCATTTAACTGTTACTTGGAAAGTTACAACTGATATATATCAGCACATTGATGTTCGTGAAGAAGGTAAAGAAAATGCGTATAGCTTGGGTCAAAGTTTGTGGATTGGAAATGAAGAATTTGAAGATTTAGATGAAATAATAGCAAGACACGTAAATCCAATGGCAGCTTGCGCGAGAGAGTTATTGAATTACAAATACTATCGAAATGCAGGTGGAGGTCTTAAAGACAACATGGAAGAAATTCTTAGAGAGGAAAAAAAAAAGGATTCAAAGAAAATACACTATTTCTTTTCCGCCACAAAAAACTATCCGGGAAAATTTCTTTTATCATATTTACCTAAAACAAAATTTAGGCACGAATATGTTACTGTAGTATCAGATGGTTTCCGCTTTAGAGGTCAGATTTTTGAATCTTTACATTTATTATTGAAATGGTTTAAAGATCATTATTGTGATCCAATAGTAAACACACCAACTTCTACATCAAATCTTCAAAGCAATAATCAATTTAGTACACCGCATTTAAATACTGATTCTAGATCAATATCTCAAGCAATAGCTCTTAATACCCCCCATTACTCAAACACACCCGGATTTCAAGGATATGTCAATACTCCATACACACCAAGTGGACAGACACCTTTTATGACGCCTTACAATACGCCACATTTATCAGATACACCACGATATACACACAGCACTCCCAGTCCAAGTTCTTCTACATCAAACCAAAATTTTTGTCGCTCAACAAATATTAAACAAAGTAAAGAATCTGTAAGTTGCCATGAAGTTATACCTAGTTATGAAATTGCTCACAAGAAAAACAAAGGATATTCAAATAGTAATGAGAGTAGGGAATGGCAAATGGCTTCAGATTCCTGGGCTAAGCGTAAACCTGTGAATAATTTAATGCCACATATATCAAGGCCTAACATTAATAATTATGCAAATAACAGAAATAACAATTTTGAAAAAGAATACGGATATGCATCAACTCACTATACCGATGAATTTTTTCGCAGTAAGGATTCGCAAAGAACTCCAAAATCGTTTCGCAGTACACCACGTACTAATACTTCGCCACATTCTATGAATTTAGGCGACGCTACACCTTTATATGATGAAAATTAGAATTAATAAAGATCAGTTTAATTGCAGAAAAATCAGCAAATATTTGAATTTACATTTTTATATAAAGCTTTGGTTTATATGTAAATGTAATTACATGAAGTTACATTATTAATAAATGATTCATATTTTGAATTCTTGAATTTTATGCGGTTTCTTTATTTTTTATAGTTTGATGTTAAGAGAACCAAATTACTAAGAAGGGCGACATCTTTAGAACCCTAAAGTAACGTTATGAACCCAAATACAGTTTTCATCGTATTTGATACACACCTGTCCTTGAACCTAACATATGTTTACTATGTATGTAATATTACTTACACATTCCATCTAAAAAGTTTTAGGAATTCAAATTTTAAAATACGTAAAATAAAAAACAGAATCTCTTTTTCCATTCATGAATTTTTACAAAATCTGTTCTGCGTATAATTAAAAATCGAAACAGCAAAAAAGTTTTAAGCTAACTGTTTTATTAGGTAAACTTGCTCAAATACCTGTTCTGTTCTTACTTGCTTTAGCTAAGTGTATAAATATCTGTTAATCAGAGGCGAGGCGTCGAATGGTTCAGAGTGTTCACTGAACACCTTAACAAAGCTTCCTTTTTAGATTTTTTTATTTATGAGGTAAATAATCTCGCTATGTTGCTTTTTAACATTTTTTATAATAGCTTTTCCAAACAGATTAACATAAACACAAAACGTACAATACAAACAAAATCACACATATGTTAGTTACACCCAATATTACTTATAATTAATAAAAGAGAAAACACATTCCTCTTAAAATATACTAAGGTTCAGAATAAAAACTGCTCCGCGCTGCTTACAAAGCATGCAAATGAAATAACATTCACATTGAGACTATGTTCAATATTGTATACACAACACAAAACATACAAACAAATATAAAAAGAAAAGAGAAAACAAGCCCCGCAAAATATGTACGTAAAATAATCATAACTCTTAAATTAATGCGTGCAAGCGGTTCAATTTAAAAAGTGAACTTCCAATGTTATGCAAAGTAAATACAAAAGAGAAAAGAAATGACTGAGCGAAAATCGCTTTACATTTGACTAGAGGTTCAGTCGACTAAACTGAACCAAAAGTTTATACAAACCGTGCAAATACAATCAAAGTCACGGTTGCTGTTTTATATGGGCAAATGGTTCAGTAAAAAACTGAACTACACATAGTAAATATAAAGTAAAAGAGTAAATGAATGTATGAGAGTTTCTTACTCTTATGTAGAGTAAGAAACTCTTACTCTTATACTAGCAAATGGTAAAAGTAAAGAAAAAAATTATAGAAATTTAAGTGAAAAATAATATTTAGAAATAGGTAATTAAAGATTTGATTCATTTTTTTTTTTTAAACGATCTTCTGAAAAAAAGATTTTAATTCATAAAGTGAATATACCAACTCCAGATATGAAGAATTTGGTACCTGATGTAAAAATGTCGAAATATGTGGTAAGTCTCCTTTTTCCTACAGCTATTTACCATAAAAACCAGTGGATCACAGGATGCGAACATTTAAATAAATTGTTTTGTTGGTCTTGTATGCTATTTGCTTGCGGAAAGGATAAAACTTAGAAGTAGAAGGAATACGTTATAGTTGGAATTCTGTTTTAATCAAATTGTGAACACCTTGCCAAAAAGCTGACGCTTCGCTACTGCTGTTAATATTATACTAACAAAATCTGTATAAACCAGAAAGTGTGAATTACGTTGGTTGGCTTAAAGCAAGTTGTTGTTACGAACCTCTTGGTTGTCCACTTCGGAAAAAGCTCTTAAAAACTGAGAGTGAATATCGGCACATTTATTATTTTGGCCTGCATAAATCCTTTCAAAGGTTCTGTATGAGATTACAAAAACAACTACCTTATGCAAAAAAGTGTTTTATTTTCCTCTTTTTAAAAATAAATAGCTCGGCGTGCAAATTATTTTTCGCTTTCAAAAATATGTTACACAATAAGTTTTATTTTTATGTTTGAAAAATAAACAAAAACTGCAGGAGCCTGTTAAACTCATCCTGAAGTTCTTCCAGAAATGGAAAATAAAAATTTACAATGAAAAAACTAAAGCTCTATTTATTACTCGTAAAAACAGGCAACATCCACTGAGAGTGAGAGTTGGTAGGAATCACGTTGAATAAGCGGTTCACTTGGCACAAGCACATATAAGTCAAAAGAAATAGTTGCGCAAAAACACTGCAGTGCTTACAACCACTTTTTAAACACAACAACATTAGCGCGAAGAACAGAAAGTTGATCTATTATTATATTATTATTATTTATTGATTCAAAAAAATTCATACAGCACTTACAAAAAATTATAGAATTTTACTTAAAATCTAAATTGACAATAACAAATTTGTTGTGTGTCAGATTGGCATACAAAAGGAGGTGCAAAATATTAACATTATTATTTATATAAATTTATCAATATTTATCAAAATCTTCTGTAACTTAAAACACTTTTCATAAATTTATAAAGTTTATAAATATTGCTACCGTTTAATAAGACTTTCACTTCTTCTTCAGACAGAAGTGCTTTATAATAAAAATTATGTGCTGTTTTCGAAATAAAAATTAAGCATAATGTCATATTGTAGCTGTGGGTACACGTCATGAGATCCCGACTCAGCATTCGCAACAAAGGAGTCGTGTTCACGCCGTTTATATAAAGTTATAATATTTTTGTGCAATAGTTTAAGATTCATTCTCCTAAAACTGGTTATTGAAACACCCAGTTCTAAACACATATTTTCCCAATCTTTGGCCCAATATATACCTTTGCTAATTATAAGTACAGTTAATATTCGAGGAAGCCTTGTTGGGGGGAGATTAAGAATTTTTCTTACATATGCGGAATGTGCTTGTATTGTGTTTAAGAACTGTGTCGGTAAACCCGTTTCTAAGTGGAGCATATAGTTGGGGGTGTTAGTGGGTAGAAATAGTATCTTTTTTATAAAAAATCTAAAAAGTTTTTCTACTTGATCATGGTGTTCGTAACCCCAAACTTGGGTTCTGTAAAGTACAATCGAACGTGCTGCCGTGCAGAAATTAGGATTAGACAAATACTTTGTCCATGTCGAGTTAATTGCACTTTTACCTAAGGAGAGTTTAGAGGTCAAATGTTTATTGTAGGAAAGGTTATACGTAATTAATATTCCGAGATATTTATATTCATTGATAATTTCTACTTGCCTTTCCCCAAATTTCCACGACAACGAATTACATACTCTAGGACCTTTTCTGAAAATCATTATCTTAGATTTATCTAGATTCGCGATAAGACCCCATTGTGAACAATACCTAAATAAATCATTTATCATAATTTGCAATAAATCAGGTGAATCCGCAAGTAGAACCACATCGTTAGCATACAAAAGCACTTTTATATGAATTGAGTTAATATTATTATTATTTAAATTTAAGTGTATAACAGAGGTTAGATTAAAAATATTATCAACAGTTGAGTAAGATCTCCGAAATCCCGCTTGGTATTCATTTAAGATATTATTGAGCTCAACCCAGCTATTCATTCGTGAAAGTAGTTTACAAGTAAATATTTTATATATAGAGTCCAGCAATGATAATCCACGATAATTTGAAACTATATTGGGATCTCCTTCTTTAAACATGGGTTGAATTATCGATTTTGAAAACGAAGAAGGTATGACACCGTGAAGAAATATATAATTACATAGCGTAAGTAACTCGTTAAGGAAACCAGAAGGAGCATTTTTGTAGACCTCATAAGGAATACTGTCGTTACCTGGAGCTTTATTAGATTTGGTGTTTGCAAGCAAAAGTTGGAGTTCACGAAGTTCAAAAGGGAAATCAAGGAAAGAATTAACAAAAAGCGGAAGACACCAAGAGATAACTGGAAGGTCGGAATTGCAAGTAAGCAGGGACTCATAGTGAATACGAAAGTCTTCACATTGTAGGGAATTAGCTACTTTGAGGGGACTGTTTTTCAAATTTTTTGGTAGATTCCACCAGTCAGAAGCATTTTTAACAGTATTAAGTGCTTCAATATTTTTTAATTACCATTGAAGTTTTTTTATTACGGCAGAGGTATACATATCGAGATCTGAGTGCAAAGTAAGAAGTACGATGGGTTTTTAGATTGTATTTTGGAACTAAATTAAGAAAATGAAACATTTTTTTTCTAAGTTCATGACACTGGTTATCAGACCATTCATTTTTGGGGTCAAAACGCTTTTTCAATGTCTGGTTTCCCCACGCCTCGCGAACTTTTCCAAGAAATACATCCAATTTAACATCAATCTGCATGTTAGTACTTATGTAGTCAGAATAAGTTGTCATTTCTAGCCGTTCTCTGTATTTACCTGCCCACGGTTCTTTCCAACGCATTTTTTTCGGAACTTGTGCGTTATTCGGAATTACTTCCAAACTTGATGGAAAACGAAACTCAATAACCAGTGGCATGTGATCAGAGTATGATTTGCAAAGAACATGTAAAGAGCTTATGTATCTAAGTAACTGAAATGAACAGATACAGAAATCAACAACAGTTGACCCATTTGGTTCCACATATGTAAATTCTCCATCTTCATCACCTCGACACCTGTCGTTAATTATAACACCACCGTTGTCCTCCAGAAAGCCTAGAAGTTTTCTTCAATTGGTGTCAAGCTTCACATCTTTTGATACTCTTCTTACACTCTTCAATACAGTAAACGGGTTTATTAAAATGGTTTAAAAATTGTTCCAGTTTAGAAAAATCTTCCTCCTTTTTTTTGGAATTTAAATAACGTGGAATGAAAAAACAGTCAACTTTATTAGCACAAGAATATAGTACAATATTATCACCAAAGTTTAGAAATTTAGGAGAATATATCTTCTCTAAACATTTTTTATAACCATAAAGACAACCATCACTTTAGACGCTCCCACCCAGCAGAATATATAATCTTGAAAGAAATAAGTAAATTTATTTTGTTGTTCGACCAGTACACGTGTTTCAAATAGAAAAAATATGTCAAATAAGTTAACAAAAGTGAAAAAATTCTTATGATTAAATTTACTTTTTAAATTAGTTACGTTAAAAGAAAGCACCTGTCACACTGGCAATTACTAATTAGAATTCAGCGGCAAGGCAACATCCCCTGC